AGGGCGGCAGGTTTGCGCAGCTCGGCGAAGCCGCAAAGGCGAGCGTTCGCTCTTCTCTCGAGGCGCGTCGAGATCTAGGGGAGATCTGGGGGAGATCTGGGGGAGATCTGGGGGAGATCTGGGGGAGATCTGGGGGAGATCTGGGGGAGATCTGGGGGAGATCTGGGGGAGATCTGGGGGAGATCTGGGGGAGAGTGGTGGGCGGAGGCGCGCCTCTTCCTCGGACATATCTCCCACCATCTCCCCATATCTCCCCACATCTCCCCACCATCTCCCGATATCTCCCCATATCTCCCCACCATCTCCCCACCATCTCCCCATATCTCCCAATACCTCCCCACCGCCTCCCCATCTCAGGCGTACGTCGCCAGCCTCGCCTCTTCCTCGGACAGCGACACCACGCCGCCGTATGTCCGAAACAAGTTCTCGCAGCTGTACGTCGCGCTGATGCGGGCGGAGTACCCCGTGAGGTGGCCGACGCCGTTCGAGGCTCCGCTCCGCCCCCCCTCCTGCCGCGGATGAATGATTAGTCCTCCGCCCCCGTGCCGCTCTGAAGCAGATGCATGATACGTCGCTACTTATCCCCTTGGTTGGGTCTGGCCAGGCTCTGCTCGCCTCGCTGCCGCTCGGGGCCTCTGCGGTGGACTTGTTCCTGCGCGTGCTCCAGGCCAACACTTGGTTAATGATTCAGTCATTCAGTTAGAGTCAGTTGTTGAGTGATTCCTTGTCCCTGCGCCTGCTCCAGGCCAACACGTAATTAATAGATGAGGGATCAGTAAGTGAAGTAATGACTCATTGCTTGCTCCTGCGCCTGCTCCAGACTGTGCACGAGGACATCGTCTCTCCGGAGGTTTCGACTTTCGACGCGCAGGCGGCCTCCAGATCTCCCCATATCTCCCCATATCTCCCCATATCTCTCCGGAGGTTTCGACTTTCGACGCGCAGGCGGCCTCCATATCTCCCCATATCTCCCCATATCTCCCCATATCTCCTCGGAGGTTTCGACTTTCGACGCGCAGGCGGCCTCCATATCTCCCCATATCTCCCCATATCTCCCCATATCTCCTCGGAGGTTTCGACTTTCGACGCGCAGGCGGCCTCCATATCTCCCCATATCTCCCCATATCTCCCCATATCTCCTCGGAGGTTTCGACTTTCGACGCGCAGGCGGCCTCCATATCTCCCCATATCTCCCCATATCTCCCCATATCTCCTCGGAGGTTTCGGACGCGCAGGCGGCCTCCCGCGTCAAGGACGCGGTTCATTATTAATTAAGAGGAATGAGCTAGAGGGGCTGAGTGGCTGTCGATCAGTCCACCAGACGGCCTCCATATCTCCCCATATCTCCCCATATCTGTCCACCAGGCGGCCTCTCGCGTCAAGGACGCGATGCGGGAGCAGTGCGTCTCGCGCGTCGTCGAGGCCCTCGACTCGCCGCTCGCTGATAGCTAATACTAGTGGATGGTGAAGCCGAGTTAATTAATGCTAGGCCCTCGACTCGCTGCTCGCTGATAGGTAATACTAGTGGATGGTGAAGCCTAGTTAATTAATGCTAGGCCCTCTACTCGCTGCTCGCGCAGCTGCCGCTCGGCGAGGGGGTTGCGCCGCCCCCGTGGGCCGAGAAGGCGCATCTATTATTATTATTATTATTATTATTATTATTATTATTATTATTATTATTATTGTTGTTGTGCGCCGCCCCCGTGGGCCGAGAAGGCGCATCATCCCCCACCCCCACCCTCCCCCTCCTCACCTCCCGCCTCCTCCACCCAAGGCGCTCGGCATCGCGGCGCACTACACCGTCTGGGTGGACATCGGCTTGCTCGGCCCGCGCCGCTAGAAGCGGGAAGATGTACGCTCTTGTCATCCTGCTTTCCAAAGCAGCGCCCGAGAGGACGCGGGGTGAGAGTGGTATTCGCTGCATCCGCACCCGCTCGTGTCCACGCGGCGCACTGAAGGACACTGCACAAGTACCGCCGTCCTCCCGCGCTGAGGCTTGCGTCTTCCTCACGCAGGTTCGCCCCGCTTCCTGGCGCTGTACGCGTCGTTGCTGCAGCAGCCACCTCTACACGAGGGCGCGTGCCACGGCCTGCGACACACTGCCTAAGTAATTAATGAATTACCTATTAATTACTGTCAAGGCGCGTGCCACTGCTTGCGCGCGGTGGTCGAGAAGCGGATGGAGCCGGCGCCAAAGCTGCAGCACCTGCAGTCGATCCGCGCCGTCGAGATGCTCAGCGCCGCGCACGAGGCGATCTCCCCCAGATCTCCCCAGATCTCACCCAGATCTCACCCAGATCTCACCCAGATCTCACCCAGATCTCACCCAGATCTCGCCCAGATCTCACCCAGATCTCCCCAAATCTCCCCCAATATCCCCAGATCTCCCCCAGATCTCCCCAGATCTCCCCAGATCTCACCCAGATCTCACCCAGATCTCACCCAGATCCCAGCGCCGCGCACGAGGCGATGGTCGCGCGGGGACGCAACCCCCCCCCCCCCCCCTGCCTCCCCCCCTGGCCCACTGGCGCTCTGAATGGCTGCTCCAGGGGATGGTGGCGCGGGGACGGCCGCTGACGGAGCCGTTCGCCGCGCTGGTCGCGCAGTGCTCGCTCGAGCTTCTTGACGTCTGGGACAGGCTCCCTGTCTATCTCCCCAGATCTCCCCCACATCTCCCCCACATCTCCCCCACATCTCCCCACATCTCCCCCACATCTCGAGGCCTGGGACAGGCTCCCTATCTATCTCCCCCACATCTCCCCCACATCTCCCCCACATCTCCCCACATCTCCCCCACATCTCGAGGCCTGGGACAGGCTCCCTATCTATCTCCCCACATCTCCCCCACATCTCCCCCCACATCTCCCCCACATCTCCCCACATCTCGAGGCCTGGGACAGGCTCTCCCAGCGCGGCGGCGAGGCGGCGGGCGAGGGAGCGGCCGATCTGCTTCGCGCGTCGATGCCGCTGCTGCTGGCGGCGCTCGCCTCGGACAAAGCTCGCAGGCTAGCGGTGCATGCGCCCTTCGCTGAGTGTGCTCGTTCCTCCACTCCTCTCCTCAGGCGCTCGCCTCCGACGGGCTCGAGGTGTCGTCGAGCACGATGCCCTTCCTGCACGCGTACCTCGGCCGGCTTCGCACCCCTAGAAGCAGAATACGTAGTCTTGTACTCCAACCAGCGCCCGAGAGGGCCACGTATTCCGCTGCACTCACCCATATTCCGCCGTACTCACGCGGTGCTCTGAAGCCGCTGCACAACACCGTCCCCCCGCCCTGAGGTTGGCGTACTCAGCGCTCAGGCTTCGCAAGCTGCTCCCGGCGGCGAGCGCCATCGCGCAGCACGAGGCGCACCTGCAGCAGCTGCTCGTCCAGCTCGCTCGCCGGTCGGTGCATCCCGACGGCGCGGAGGCGCTAGAAGGGGGAATGCGCATTCCTTTGTCTTTGCAACTCGCGCTCGGCAGGACACGTATCGCTCGGTAGGACACGTATCGCTCGGCAGGACACGTATCGCTCGGCAGGACACGTCTTTCATTGTCCTCCGCCGCGCATGCACTGCACTCATAGCTCGTGTGTTCCCGCGCTGCTCCGAAATGGCCTAGGGTACGGGTACCGTGGGGGTAGGGTATTAGCTCGTGTGTTCCCGCGCTGCTCAGAATACGCGGCTCGGCACGCGGGACCCTCCCCTACCCCGCGGTACCCGAACCCACCCTCCCCTACCCCACGGTACCCGAACCCACCCTCCCCTACCCCACGGTACCCGAACCCGCCCTCACGCCGCCCTCGGCTCGGTACCGCCTCCCCGCCCCGCGGGTGCCCTCATGGTTGGCGTGTTCAGCTCGTAGGCGCGGCGGGCTTGCCGTCGGAGGAGCCGGGGCACGGCGAGGCCGGCCGGGTGAGTGCATGCATGCGTCGATGAAGTGGTCCATGTCTCCACTGAGTAGGACCCAGACGACGACGAGACCAGCTTTGCGGACTACCGCAGAGAGGTATGGGGAGATATGGGGAGATATGGGGAGATACGACGAGACCAGCTTTGCAGACTACCGCCGCGAGGCAGCAGAATAGTACAGCTGTGAATAGTATAGCTGTGAATAGTATAGCTTTGCAGACTACCGCCGCGAGGCAGCAGACCTTTCCTAGACCTTTCCTAGACCTTTCCTAGACCTTTCCTAGACTATCGCCGCGAGGCAGCAGAGCCGCCGCTGCTGCTCCGCTTCGCGCCGCTCAACCAGCCAGCTGAGGAGGAGCGATCCGTTGCGGTAGGTGTCGACGCTGTTCCGCTCCGCCGCGCGCGTGCACCCGTCCCTCGCGTGCGCGTTTGTCAAGTCGACTTTACAGTCGGTGCTCGGCGCCAGCGACGCGGAGCGGCCAGAGGGCGTCCAGTGGTCTCACGTCGAGGTTGCGCTGTGGCTGCTGTACTTGCTGGGGGAGGGGCTGCCCGAGGCGGCCACGCGCGAGATCGCCTCCCCTACCCCCACGGTACCGCACCCATCCCCCCCCACCCCCCACGGTACCCGAACCCTAGGCGACCACGCGCGAGAAGGGCGGGCCGTTCGGGGAGCTGATGCTCGCCCTGCTCTCCTCGTCTGCCGGCCTAGACGCTGACATATGGAGTCTTGTACTCCAACTAGCACCCGAGAGGAGGCGTACTCCGCTCTCTTCTTCTCCGTTGTACTCACGCCGTGGTCTGAAGACGCTGCAGAATACTTTACTCCCGCCCTGAGGTTGGCGTGTTCTGCTTGTAGGTCTGCCGCGTCGCACCCGCACGCCGCCGTCTCGCTCCAGTACCTCGAGATCGTGGTGCGGTACTACCGCTTCTTCCTGCAGCAGCCGGCGCTGCTGCCCGACACGCTGCGCTCCTTCCTCGGCGCGCGCGGCATCCGGTCGCCGCAGCAGGCGAGATCTGGGGAGATGTGGGGAGATGTGGGGAGATGTGGGGAGATATGTCGGCATCCGGTCGCAGCAGCAGGCGAGATCTGGGGAGATGTGGGGAGATGTGGGGAGATATGTCGGCATCCGGTCGCCGCAGCAGGCGAGAAGTGGGGGGATGTGGGGAGATGTGGGGAGATGTGGGGAGATTGTCGGCATCCGGTCGCAGCAGCAGCCCCCCCTTCACTCTCTTTCCGCCGAGATATGGCCGAGGTGCAGCCGAGGTGCAGCCGAGGCGTAGCCGAGGTGCAGCCGAGGCGCAGCCGAAGCACAGCCGAGGCGCAGCCGAGGGGCGGCCGAGCTTTCCTCAAACCTTCCCTGAGTCTCTTCCTCCAGCGTTCCTCGAACGTTCCTCGAACGTTCCTCGAACCTTCCTCGACGTCGGCAGGCGCTTCGGTCCCGCGCGTGCCAGCTGCTGCTCCGTTTCGTCAAGCAGACGCTCAAGTCGGCGACGGCGACTCTTCCCTCGCCTCCCCTGCCCCCACGGTACCCGAACCAATCCCCTACCCCCACGGCACCCGAACCCTAGGCGACTCAGCTCGAGATCGCAGCCTCGCTCGTCGACACGCTGCAGCGGCAGCCCGCGCCGCGCTCTTTGCGCGACGGCGGCGGCGGAGGCGGCAACGGGGCGGACGGCGCGGCGGCCACTGAAACTGGCGGTGGCGGCGGGGGGCATGGGCGCGAACCTTCTCGGAAGCTTCCCGCAGGCGGGGAGCCGGTGCTGAGCGACGCGGAGGAGCTGTGCTTGTACGAGGCGAGATTTAGCCGAGATTTAGCCGCGGTGTTGCCGAGGTGTAGCCGAGGTGTCTCCGAGATGAAGAGCTGCGGGCTGCTGCCGTCCACAGCGACACCTCACGACTATCACAGCGACACCTCACGACTGCCGGCTACTGATCACTGAGTGACTGCTTGCGGAGGCGTGCGGGCTGCTGCTCGGCTCGGGCCTCGCCTCCGAGGAGCAGGCGGCGGCGGCAGCGGCCAAGCTCTCCGAGCTGCTAGCCTTGCCGATGAACCAGCTGCAGGCGACTTCGATGTAGGGACTAGTAGGAGTACGTCGTAGCAGCAGCGGTGGCGGAGCCTTCCCGCCCCTTCATAGTTTACCGCGAATCAACAGTATTTGGCAATGGACTAGAGCTCTCTCCCGCTCCTCCCCCCCCCTCCCAACCCAACTCCAGGCTGCCTCACTCCGGCGCCCCCCCGCACGGCTTCCTTCACGGCTGCACACCCGCCTGTTCACTTCCCCACAGGCGCTCTGTCAGACAGCGCCGCCTCCCGCCGCCGCCGCCGCCGCCGCCGCCGCGCCGTCGCTCTGCCGGCAGGACGGGAGCGCCGTCGAGGCGGAGGAGCGGAGGGCGATGGAGGCGACGCACCACCCTACTGCCACAGGACCGAACCCACACCGGAGTCGAGACTCGCGAGTGTGCGGTGTGCTAGGCGGCGCACCGCATCGCGGTCATCGCGGCAGTGTCGAAGGGCTTCTCGTCGCTGGCGCACGCGGGGACGCGCGACGCGTTCACGGCGGCGATCCAGCTCTGCCTCGCACGCCGAGTGATGAAGAAATCACTGCTCAGCTCGCATCGAGTAGGCTGCGATCCAGCTCTGCCTCGCCTCCCTCGGCCCTCTCGGCTCGAGCGGCGAAGTCCGCGCAAAGACGGTGACTATCCTAAGAATAACAATAATGATAATGATAATGATAATAAGAATACTAAGAACAATGATGATGAGTATAATACGATGATACTAATAGTATTAGTGATTATAATAGGTGACTCTCTTGCACCGGATGGTCGAGACGTTCGCCCTCGACGTGCTCGGCGCGCTGCAGCCGGCGCTGCCGCACCTTCTGCGCGCGTCGGATGCGAAGGAGATCGCCGCCGCCGTCGCGCTGGTCAACCAGATCGTCCTCAAGTTCAAGGGGAGCGTCGCGGCGTCCGTGTCCCCGGTGGTCGCGGCGCTGTCCGCGGCTGTCTTTGCGCAGCTGGCCGCGCTGGAGGGGGCGGTGGCGGCCGAGGTGGGCGGCGGCGGTCGCGCGTCCATGTCGGAGGGGGCGCGGGAAAGGCACGCGCTGCTGCGCGGCTACTTCACCTTCCTCCACTCGCTGGTCCACTGTGACCTCGCCGCCGTGCTGTGCGACGCCAACAACCTGCCGCTGCTCGACGCGGCGCTGGGGCGGCTGCTGCAGGGGTGCGTCGAGGGCCCCGATCTGACGCTGCAGCGGCAGTGCTTCGCGGTCCTCCAGAAGCTGGTCGAGCACCTCGGCGGGGCGGACGAGACGTTCGACACGTACATCCGCGAGCGGATGCTGCCCGCCTGCTTCGGCGCGCTCTCGCAGCCCCACTTCCGGCTCGCCGACGCCGCGGCGCTGCAGCTGCTCGAGGCGGTCGCGGCGCTGCAGGTTGCGATGCTGGCCAAGCTCGGCCAAGAGTGAGAATTGCCAGAATAACAAGTCAATATCAGTCAAACTGGCAACTGTGCAGGTTGCGATGCTGGCCAAGCTCGGCCGTCCCTTTGCGGCGCACTTGCACGACGTCTACCTGCCGCAGCAGCTGCAGTGCTCGCCCGCCTTTTGCGACGAGTACGCCGCCCTGCTCGCCGCCGGGGAGCCGCGCGCGCTGCGCGACTTCCTCCGCTCGCACCTGCTGGCGGCGGGCGGAGGGAAGTCATAGCGGGTTGGCTGCCGGGCGGGAGAGGGTGGCGGTGAAGGAAAAACTCCTTGCCCCCCCCCTTCCCCCTCCCCCTGGGGGCCCCGGAGCCCCCCCCCCCCCCCCCACCCACCTCTTTGCACACACACACACACCCCTTCGTAGCTACCCCTACCAGCGCCCTCCGCATACCGCCTCTCTGCGCATGCCCCCGCCCCGCGGGAGGACGGCACGGCGGCGGTCGCGACGCGCCGCCGCCGCTCACTCCGCTTGCCATCGTCGGAGAGAGTTCAGCGAGGCAACAAGGACAAGAGTGAATCGTGTGTAAGCCTGTCGTCGATCGGTGGGTTGTACGAGTGTCACACTCAAAGGTTATCGGAACAGAAATATATTTGGTGGCACTTGCGGAGCGCCGACATTTGTGGAGTGCACAGTCATTTTCTCCTCACTGCTCACGGGCTGCAGTCACGCGGCATCCGTCATCTCCCGCCCCGGGCGCCCCCCTTCCCTGTGTACGAGTTTGCTGTAGTGTGTAGTTTCGGTTCAGCCCCCTGACAACCCCATAACACTACGCTACGTCTAGGGTACCGAGGCTCACCCCCCCCCTTCGCGCCTGCTGTTTTTTCCTGCCAAACCAGCGGGATCTCGGTGGGGCGTCAGCGCCTCTCGGTGGGGGGCATCATGCGCTCGCGGGGCTGCCCGACGGGGCGGGCCTCGTGCCGATGGACCCAGCGGAGGTGCCCGACCAGTCGGAGCCGCGCCGACGCGCCGCGCGCGAGACCACCAGCCAGCTTTTCGGCCGGGCCGAGCACGAGGCGTCGAGAAGGTAGAGACTGAAAACAGCCGCCGCTTTTTTTGCCTCTTTTTGAGCGCTGCTGCTGCACACCCAGCCCACCAGTAATACTAGAAGCACCAGATCCACCCCGTCGCGAGCTTGACCGCCTCCCACCCCGGTGACCGCCCACAGGTGGCGGATCGCGAGCGTAGCTGCGTAGGGTGCCCACAAGACCCCAAAGAAAATACTGAGGGGTGGCCCGTCTACCGTCTGCCGGTAGACCGGGTAGACGGTAGACCATTTGGTAGACGAGTCTACCGGTAGACCGTAATGAACCTACGACTGCAGTCTACCGGTAGACTTGGTAGACCGCGGTCACACACACACACACACACACTAGACCGCGGTAGACTCGTCTACCCCTTTCCGCATCTCCAGCTCGGGTGGCGAGGGCCAGCACAGTTCCACACACCTTCCAACTCATTTTGCTGCAACGCGTAGCTTACAAATGGCAACTTGACTGAAAACTCTCCCTGGTTTTGGCATCTTGCGGCTAGCTCTTCAACTTTCTTGTTTTTGAAGCCACCCAACCCCTCCCTTGGGTTGTCTGTTTCAAATAAGGTGTGCCTCATATGGTGACTCGGCCGCTCTCGGCCACACGGCGCCAGCCTCGCCCCCACGCGTGCACGAGCGGGTACGACCAGGGAAGCAAGTTCATCTGCGCCACCGCTATCGCGTGCCCCGGCTGCGGCCTGTGCTTCGCCTCGAGCGCCTCCAGTAGTGCCGCCTGGCCCGCGAGGCCGATCCGATGGTGAATGAGATGCCGAAAAGTTGCACGCGAGCTCGTAGCGCCGTCTTGGCACACGTCTGCTACTACTCGCACTCGACGGCGTCGTCGCAGTAATGCTCGTTGCCAGTCTGGCGATATCGCTGGCGCAGTGCCCCATCTCCTCCGACGCGTCTCAGGACCCACACCTCTCCTTTGCGCACGGAGGGCGCGCTGACTTCCGCGGTCAAAACGGTACCAGCTGCCGCTTACCTACCCTTACTGCCGCCCTCACTGCCACGCACACAGTCCTGCCACCACCCAAGAAGAGCTGACAGAGGTACACGCGCCTTGTGTATGTGCAGACCACCTCTACAACTTTCTGTCGGCACCCGGCATCGCCCTCAACGTCCGCATTGAGGAGGCTACGTTTCGTCTCAACGGAGGACGCCTCGAGGTGGATGGGAGCTTCATCACCGAGGCGCACCTCATGGCTCGCGTCGGAGGCAACAAGCGCAAGACTGCAACCGTCTCCTTTTGGGGGTCTCGTCTGAACCCATTTAACTCGGGATGGGATGTTGTCAACGGCACGTGCGGCGTCCGTCGCTTCATCTTTGGCCTCGCAGGCGGCATGACAAAGAGAGAGAGCAGGGAGAGTGCTGAGTGGGCAAGCCGACACCAACGTTAGGCCTTGAGTGGGGCAACGAGAGTCCCCTCCGTGCACCTTTAGGTCACAAGGCGTGCGAAGAGCTCTCCGTGAAGATGGGTTACTCGAGCGCAAATTTCGCGCTACGCGGCTGGAACATCACTGTGCGTGGCAACCACGTTTACGGCTGGGCGGCAGGTCCAAAGCACCGGCTCGACGTCTCCTTCAGTGCTTCGAAGCTCGCTGCCGCGCGCGACCTCCCGCACGGCATTATCGGGCAGTCGTTTGCAAGCGAGGAACCGCGTCACGGCAAGGTCGACCTCTACCCAGAGGTGGGAGGTAGCTGGGATTTAGCTGACGTCGGGGGTTGGGCGTCTGTCTGCCTCTTCCTACCTATCTCTCTTCGCAGTCTCTCGCCAATTTTCTCGCACCTTCATGCCGCCTCGCGGTCGTCTCACTCTCGTCGTTCTCTCTCCTGTCGCTTCATCCGCTCTGACTCATCGCTCTCCTCGGCCTCGTGCGACGAAGGCCACAATTTCTTTTTGCGCAGCTGCTTGTGGGCGAAAATTTCTTTTTTCGCACGACACTGAAGTCGCGTGAACAGGGCATCTTATGTGCAGTGGGGCTACAACTGTAGCGCGTCGGCAGGATCCCCAAAACCGTCGCAAAGCTGTCCCCCCCCCCCCCCCGGCGCAAACTTTAAACCACCATAAACATCAGTCTGACAACACAAACAACTCTAACACTCACTCGTCATTTGGGGCCTGGAGCCCTGTTCACGCGCGCGCGAGACTGCCAGGGCCGGGCACTGGGCTCTGCGTCTGGTCTGCGGGGCGGCAAGACATGGCTAGATATCATGTAGGCCCCACGTGATCGGAGGTAGAAAAAAACTGTTCATGTTACAAAAACAACAGAAACAAAACAAATAAAAATCTCTCTCAGAAACACGCCGCTTTGCGCCTAACCTTAACGCTTGAGTGTTAAGATCGAAAGATTTAAGCAAGCCATAAGAGTGCCCCCGGGGCTTCCCGCATACGGGCCCAGCGCCACACACTCTCGACATCTCTCATCAGAAGGCAAGGTAAGGTAATTTCTCCACACACTCAATTACAAAGTGGTGGGTATCCCTCGCATCTCCACACCCCGCCGGACAGGCACACGGGCAGGACCAGGAGAGAGCAGGCACGGCATTCAATTTCAAAGAGAGTGCAAAAGGCATCAGAAAAAAATTGCTTTGACCCAAAATACTCGGCACAGTGTTATCCCCTACCCCCCCCCCCCCCTGTCCTCTCTGGACTAGACATGTGCACTACATTGCCTGGGGGTGGGGTGGTGGGGCTCTATCGGGGCATGGTGGCTTGTTGTAGGATATGAGTTGTGGGCGTGGGTCGCCGGCTTTCGCCAGCCTTCTGCAGGCATCCTAAGTTCGGCGGCTCAGCCTCCTCCGTGCCAGGGATCGCGCGGGGCGCAGCACGCCCTGTGTCGTCTGCGCGAGATCCTAGTCCCTGGTTCACCGAGGCGCCCCCTACAGGGGGTCAGCTCAGCCGCGTTCCTTGTAGTGTGATGCCTTTAAGTCTTTAGGTAGTTGGTTCTAGGTAATTCGTTAGCTAGCGCTCTTTTGGAGTGGGGCCATCTTTCACTCTCCCACTCCCACTGACTCTGACTCGGGTGTTGTGTCTGTCTCGCGTCGCGCGATGTCTGGTTGTGTCTGTCTCTGCGCTTTTGAGTGATTTTTGCCGTGAGACAGTGTTCACAGGCGTGTTGCTGCCACCATAATAACAGTCCGTCCCACACAGCTCGAGCCCTACTTTCCTCTCTTCTCTACCATTGTTGGGCTGTATATTCATGTATACGGGCCCAGCGCCACACCCTCTCGATATCTCTCATCAGATCATCAGAAGGTGTACCTCCCGACGAGGTCGCCGAGGCTCTTGCTCTGTGGCAGGATCTCGCACACGCCGGCGACGACCCAGCTGTCGCACCTGCGAGCGGCGAACGGGCTCTGGACGAAAGGACAGGTGCAGCGGGGCGGCCAGGCTGCGGCGGTGGGCGTCGCTCCCCATCTCTGGCAGCAGCGCGTCGAGCTCGGAGACGGCTCCGGTGAGCTCCGCCTGCGGGAAGAGAGGAGGGAAGGTTAGGTACCCTCGCGACTCCACGTCTACAGGAGCCCCGCGGCATTCAAAGTGCAAGGCCCGGTGCGCGTGGGCTCAGAGCGGTGTGAGCGCGGTGTGTGTGAGACAGGAGCGTGGGAGGGGGCACCGCTGCTGCATCTCGGCTACATCTCGGGTGTATCTCCGTTGCGTGTCTCGCCTGCAGCTGCTCCGCAGTGACCATCAGCTCCTTTTTGTTGGTCTGCGCCGCGTACACGCCTGGAGAGGCCGAGAGAGGCTGTGGCAGGACGTGGGCGTCGGTGGGGCGGGAGAGGGCGGTGTGTTCGGCGTGAAGGCCGTGGGACTGCAGTGGAAGATTCGGGTCTCCACTGCAGTGGAATACAGCCATGTGTGGGCACTTGTGGGGTCCACAGTGGAAATGCAGCCACGACAAACGGAGATGCAACCACAAGCTGGAATGCATGATGCACAGGATGGTGAACTCATGACGCGGGCCGCGCGCCATTCTCGAGCGCAGAGATGCGACGCATGAGCGCGGTCCGCTTGGAGAGGAGCGAGGAGGAGCGGGCGGCGTCTCCCGCCGCCGCCCACGCCGCCGCCCGGGACTTGACCGACTCGCCGGTGTAGCCCTTGAAGGTCATCGCCGCGAGGAGCACGGACGTGACTTTGCGGACCTCATCCCACCGCCGCTGCTCGAGCAGTGGGCCGCAGGCGGCAAGCTCCTCCCGTGATTGCCGTAGCCTCAGCGTTAGCGGGTCGTCGCCCTTGTAGGAGCGGGCTGAGGCAGGCACAGCGGAGAGCGGCAAGGCGAGCAGCGTGGCGAGCGGCGCGAGCACGGCCGAGCGGCGAGAGAAGAGCGGCGAGCGGTAGGCACGGCTCTCATGACGCGGCGAAGCCGGGTGCAGGGCGGCGAGCGAGAGCACCGGGTGCAGGGCGGCGAGCGAGAGCACCGCGGCCATCGCAGACGGATAAAGAATTTAAACAAAGCAACTCTCTCTCACAGCACACAGGCATACTGAGCGGCAGCTGCGCTGGAAATAAGGAAGAGGCGCGTCACTTCATGCGGAAGCTCGACAAACACACAGCGAGGGCGACAGCAAGAGTTGAACGGGAGGCGCCGGACTCAAAAGACACCGCCACATTCCTGAGACGAGCGAGGGCAGCCTCCTTAAAGGCGAAAGGGTCTAGATTTGGGGCGCTCGCCGAAGAGGAGTACGACAAAATAGCACCCGTGATTGCATGCACGCTACCCGCACTCACGGACTCCATACCCGAAAGAAAGAGAAGGGAGCTCGCGGGAGAGGTGACGAGTGAACTTCAGGTAGTGGGGAAGGCAGCCTCGATTGCCATACAGACATGGGTGCGAAACAACGACAAGACCAAGGCAAGGGCAGAGGAACGAGAGAAGAATATAGGGTGGATAAAGCGCATGTTCACGGCATGGAGGGTGAGCCACACCGAACGTACCGAGCGAAGAGCTGAGCGGAAGGAGGACGGGGAAGATGACTCGGGGGAGGACGAACCAGTGGAAATTCAGTTGTCAGATGTCACGATGCACCCGAAGGGGACCCCAGCGCCGGCATCATCCGTAGAGGCACGAGTGTTCGAAGAGAGAGTGGACCTGAGCAACAACATGACGTGTAGGCAAATGATCGGAGTGGGAGTCAGAAATGTGGTCCTTGCGCGAGGGGAGCTTGATAGACTCGAGGGGCCAGGATACGCCGCGAGGAGGACGGAGTTGCGCAAGGCGAAAGAAGCCGCGAGAACAAGGGACCGGCAGGCGGCGGCGTCGCAGGACGAGGCAGAAGAGAACGACGCGACAGAGGAGGAAGTGACAAGGGAGAGACCGACGAGAGTGGGACGGCCGCGAGGTGGCATGAAGGTTGCAGCGAGAAGCGGCGAGAGACTGCGAAAAGAGATACGAAGAGGCAGACTCCCCAGGGTGGGCGACGGCTAGCGCACCACACTCCTCTCCTTAAAATCCCTGTGTGGTGGCGGCGTGCCGTTCTCCCATCCCTCCCTTGGGTTGTGTGTTTTCTTTCTTTCTTTTTAGCACACAGGCTCGACACAGGTGCGAACTGGCGCGTGCTAGGATAAAGAATTCGCGCCGCTCGCGGCGCGAGGTCCTCCGTGGGTGGATTTTTTCTTTTTTCTTTTAGATGAATATGATGTGCTGCGGGTGGTATAGTTACTGATTAATTAATTAAAAATGAATTAATACTCATCTTGGAAAAAAGAGAAAAATCCCTAGCGGGTGAGTGATCTGTGAGTGGCTCGGGTTACACCAATCCTCGCTACCCAACGCGGCCAAAGGATATCCACCTCGAGAGAGAGAGAGAGAGACTCTCTCTCTCTCTCTCTCTCTCTCTCTCTCTCTCTCTCTCTCTCTCCCACCTCGAGAACCTCGCGAGAACAATTTCTTTGTTATTTTTTTCCGAGGCAGGCCATCAACACGACATCGACCGCCTCCTGCACGCTGGGCGCCCCTCTCCCCCCTGTCGCCGCCCCTCGATGCCTCCGTCCGAGAGCCTCCGCCACCCTCTGGTGCGCGGAGCCGGCACCGAGCCGTGGCTCGGTCGCAACGGCTTCGCGCCTCCCCGCCGCTGCCGCGACACCGGCGCGCTCGTGGCGCTGCTGCTCTGCTTCGTTGCGATGGCGGCCATCGCCGCCGTCGCCCTGCGCGAGGGAGACATCGGCCGGCTCGAGACGGGCATGGACGTGACCAACCAGCTGTGCGGGCTGCGGCGCGAGGGCTACCCGGAGGCGATCGCCGAGCGGCCGTTTGTCTTTTTCGCCTGCCTGCCGTATGGCCGCCGCGAGCCGACGGTGTGCACGGCGGAGTGCCCGAAGGTGTCGGGGCAGTACGTGCGCTGGTACAACGGCTCGCTCATCTCGTGCCCCACCGCCAACGGCCGCTCCATTCCCGCCACCACCTACCCGACCACGCACCTGCAGCAGAACTGCGTGCCGTCCGCCGCGTCGCTGTACGCGCTCGTCGCCACCCAAATCGACACGGACGCCTTCCCCTCGACCCTGGAGGGGATGCTCAAGGCTCGCTGGCTCCTCGCCGCCGCCGCGTGCGCCGCCGCGCTGCTGGCCGCCGGCTGGGGGTTGGCTGTCCGCGCGCTGGCGCCGTCTCGACGGCGCGCGACCCTCAATAAGAGAAAGACAGAAGAGGTAGAGGACGGGGAGGAGAGGGACAACCTGCGCACACCTCGCGCTCTGCGAATGAGCGTCCTCCACGCACCCTCCACTCGCCTCTTAACTTGGCACCAGGCTCGCCCTCCTCGCGCTAATTAATTATTAATTAATTAATTAATTAACGAGTGCTCCACTCGCCTCTTAACTTGGCACCAGGCTCTTATTATTATTATTATTATTACTATTATTATTATTACTATTATTATAAGGCTCGCCCTCCTCGCGCTCTCCGCGTGTGTGTCGTCGCTGCTGCTGCTCGCGGCCCTAGAAGCGGAATACGCCTTCTTGTATCCCAACCAGCGCCCGAGAGGACCACGTATTCCGCTGTATTCACCCGCATTCCGCTGTATTCACTGTCTTCACCCCGTGCTCTGAAGACGCTGCACAATACCGCATTCGTGCCCTGAGGTTGGCGTGTTCTGCTTGTAGGCTGGCCGCCGCCCTCTGGTTCCGCTTCTTGCAGGCACACGCACACACACACACACACACACACACACACACACACACACACACACACACACACACACACACACACACACACACACACACACACACACACACACACACACACACACGCCGCTCACCCACGCGCACTGGGCCTTGCACTTTGAATGCCGTGGGGCTCCTGTCGTTAGACGTGGAGATGCGAGGGTCGCCCCCCCCTTGCCCCACCACCTCGTGTGTGTGGAGAAGTTTACCTTACCTTCTTGCAGGGCTTGTCGGTGGCGGGGGAGATGCCGGTCCTCCAGGGCTCTCTGCAGGTTGCGACAAACGCGCAGATGGCGGCAGCTCTCGCCGCCATCGCCACCGCCATCGCGGTCGGTGTCGGTGTCGCCCTGTCCTGCGGCCTGCAGCAGCGGCTGCTGCAGGCGGGCGGGCTGTTGCGAGAGGCGTCGGAGGCGATTGCATCGCTCCCAGCCCTCCTCGTCCTCCCGCTTCTCCTCTCCTGCGCCACCGCGCTGCCCGCCGCCGCGTCGCTGTGAACGGCGTCTCTTCACAGACCCGCTGCTGTGAACAGGCGCCATCGCTCTGCTCGCCGCCGCGTGGCTGTGAACGGCGTCTCTTCACACCCCCGCTGCTGTGAACAGGCGCCATCGCTCTGCTCGCCGCCGCGTGGCTGTGAACGGCGTCTCTTCACAGACCCGCTGCTGTGAACAGGCGCCATCGCTCTGCTCGCCGCCGCGTGGCTGTGAACGGCGTCTCTTCACAGACCCGCTGCTGTGAACAGGCGCCATCGCTCTGCTCGCCGCCGCATGGCTGTCTGTCTCCCTCTACATCGCCTCGGCCGGCAACACTTCCTAGACAGTTCCTAGACACTTCCTAGACACTTCCTCGTAGGACGCCTACCCAGTGCACGACCTCGATACTTCCTAGGCACTTCCTAGACACTTCGTAGACACTTCCTCATAGGCAGAGTCGAGCGCGGCGTCCTTCACGCTGATGAGCGGCTGCAGTGGCTGTTTCTGCTGCACAGCCTGGGCTCGCTGTGGGCGATGGAGGCCCGTATCTCCCCATATCTCCCCATATCTGGGCTCGCTGTGGGCGATGGAGGCCCATATCTCCCCATATCTCCCCATATCTCCCCATATCTGGGCTCGCTGTGGGCGATGGAGGCCCATATCTCCCCATATCTCCCCATATCTCCCCATATCTGGGCTCGCTGTGGGCGATGGAGGCCCATATCTCCCCATATCTCCCCATATCTGGGCTCGCTGTGGGCGATGGAGGCCCCCTCTTCCGTATCTCCCCATATCTCCCCATATCTCCCCATATCTGGGGGCTCGCTGTGGGCGATGGAGGTCCCCCTCTTCCGTCCTTAGCTCGATGTGGACGGCCCATTATGAACAACGCACCGCTGGCCGCGCCAGGTGCTCTTCCACTGGGCCTTTTGCGCCACGGCGGGGCTGATTGTGCGATGGTACTTCGGCGCGCCTTCCCTGGCCGAGGGCGGCGGCGGAGGCGCGCTGCTCCGCGCGTCATGCCGCACTCTGCGGTGCGCTCGGGCGGGCTCTCCTCGCCACCGGCTACGGAGTAGTCGTTGGTGAAATGATGCATGATTCGTCCCTAGGTACTCGGCCGGCTCCCTCGCCATCGGCTCCGCTGCAGCTGCCGCCGAGCCAGCCCCACGCGTGAACGGCGTCTCTTCACACCTCTGGTCCGCGAACAGGCTCGCTGCTAGTGCTGCCTGGCCGCCCGCTCCGTTTCCTGCTCGAGCATTGCTTGCACCAGGTGCGGCCACGACGAGAGGCCAGCAGCAGCCTTTACCCGCCGTCCCCTCCCCCCACCAGCACTCTCTTCACAGCAGCCTTTACCCGCCGTCCCCTCCCCCCACCAGCACTCTCTTCACAGCAGCCTTTACCCGCCGCCCCCTCCCCCCACCAGCACTCTCTTCACAGCAGCCTTTACCCGCCGCCCCCTCCCCCCACCAGCACTCTCTTCACAGCAGCCTTTACCCGCCGTCCCCTCCCCCCACCAGCACTCTCTTCACAGCAGCCTTTACCCGCCGTCCCCTCCCCCCACCAGCACTCTCTTCACAGCAGCCTTTACCCGCCGCCCCCTCCCCCCACCAGCACTCTCTTCACAGCAGCCTTTACCCGCCGTCCCCTCCCCCCACCAGCACTCTCTTCAAAGCATCTCTCTACCCGCTGTCCCCTCCCCCCACCAGCACTCTCTTCACAGCAGCGTTTACCCGCCGTCCCCTCCCCCCATCAGCACTCTCTCACA